CGCCCCTCCTCCCGGCCCGCGCGGCACCGGAGACCGCGGGGCCGGGTCGCCGGCCCGCCCCTTTGTCCCGCTCTGGGCGGCGCCGGAGGCTCGGGGCGGCCCGGGTCCGCGCCCTCCCAGTGGGGTCCGCGCCCTCCCAGTAGGGTGCGCGGAGCAGGCCTGGCCTGGCCTGGCCTGGCCCAGGGCTGGGCACTTGTGGCCGCCGGGAGCGCTCTGAGCCTTTGCGCTGCGCAGACGCCGCTCTGGCCTTGTCGGAGCCGAACCTGGGAGAAGCACGAGCTGTGGGAGGCGGCGTCTCGAGGGATACACTGGGTGACCGTGGAGAGCCGGCGAAGGATTAGGAAAATGGCTGTGGTGGCGATAGAAAGCGTTCCTACCGGGCTTTGGAGGCTGGGGGCGGGGGTAGTCTTCAAAAGAAGGAAAGGGAAATGGTTTTTATTTCTTTGCAAACCGAAGAGTAAGGACATGCTCTTTCTAGCTTTGGTGCTAAAAATACCAAGCTTTCTTTGGACCGTGGCTGAGATTTGTTCCTCACCTTTACGCTAAAGAGGCGGCTGGGACGATTCTCGTGGGGTAGGGGTGTTTCCAGGGACAGCTAGGGGTGGCTCCCCTCTTTGAATGCTGGCTGAGATTTGTTCCTCACATTTACGCTAAAGAGATGGCTGGGACGATTCTTGTGGGTTAAGAGGGGTTTCCAGGGACAGCCAGAAGCGGCTCCCCAGCCTCAGCCTGCCTACCTGTAGAAATAAGCACGCCACACCTCTGTTTCTTAAACTTATTCGGTGGCTGAGGGCCGAGTGGTCTGCTCTGTTGGGTAACACCAAACAGGGATCTATTAAAACTCGGCTAAGACTGGTTGCCACATGCTAGTACAAGCAACCAACAGGTTAATTCCAATGGTAGGAGGAGATCTTGAAATACTGTTCGGTCCATTCCCAGGTTTGTTTCTGGTTTTTTTTGTTTGTTTTTTGAGATAAGCTATCACTTTGTCGCCCAGGCTGGAGTGCAGTGGCATGACCCTGGCTCGCTGCAGCCTCTTCCTCCCGCCTCAGCTTCCCAAGTAGCTGGGACCACAGGTGCAGGCCACCACGTCTAACTAGAGACAAGATATTGCTATGTTGCCAGTGCCGGTCTCAAATTCCTGGGCTCAGGCAATCCTCCCACCGCTGCCCCCCCAGATTGCTGGAATTACAGGCATGAGCCACTGTGCCTGGCCAATATTGTTTGTTTAATTAAGGGGGATGCAACCTGTCTGTGACACCCTAGGCAACTCAGGAAACTCCGTGGGAACCTGTCCATTCATTCAGCAGATAGTGAGTGCTTGATTGAGTGCCTGATGGATGCCAGGCCCTGTGTCTATGCTGTGACACTTCAGTGAACAGGACAGCTGAGGCTTTTTGCCCAATAAAGCTAATTTTTAGTGGAGAAGACAAATAATCACAAGTTGAAGTAAAGGCTGGGACAAAAACAAGGGGCTAGAATAGAGAATAAGAGCTACCTTAGGTGAAGTAGTCAGGGAAAGGGTCTTTGAGGAGGTGATCCTGAAATTGAAGTCAAAAGAATGAGGAGTTAGCCTTGGGAAAATTCGGGCAGAGACATTCCTCCTTGAGAGCAGTAGGTGCCTTTTCAGGGTAAGCTCTGGATGGGTCAAAGAGGTGAAAGAAAATCAGTGTGGTTTAATTATCAAGCCTCGGGGAGGAGGCCCAGGATGGAGTGGGAAGGTGGGCGGGGGCCAGATCATGCAGGGCCTGTGGGCTGTGTCAAAGAATGGAGACTTTGTTGAGCCTTGGAAGGGTTTTATGCAGAAGACTAACATCTTCTGATTTAAGGCTGTGCGTGGGTGTCAGGCAAAAATAAAAGCAGGGAGCCAATTAGGCTTGCCACAATCCAGGCCAAAGATGATGGTGGTTTGAACCAAAGTGGTGGCCATGCTAAGATGAGTAGTTGAGAGATGCTATTTTGGACTTAACAGGACACATTGATAGGAAGGACATGGGGGCGGGAAATGGAGAAACCAAAGATAAGTTTCTGGCTGGAGTAAGTGGGTGGACAGTGCTTCATTTATTGGATCAGAAAGCAGCACATCTCGGGGAGTTACATCAGGAATTCTGTTCAAGCCACATGGAGCTTAAGCTGCCTGTTAGAGATCCAGTGGGGTTATTCCATCACTAGGAGCTCAAAGAGAGGCCTAGGCTGGAGAGGGGGCTTTGGGACACATCAACATAAAGATGTTCGAGGTCATGGGATCTGAGAAGGACACACAGGGTGAAGGGGTAGACGCAGAGGAGGAGAGAGTTCAGGAGGGACCCAGGGGAACCAAGGCAGATGAGAAGACTGAAAAAGGCTGGGGAGACTAGAGGAGAGTCAGGAGAGCGCTGTATCCCAGAGACAGAAAATGTTTCCAGAAAGCAGTTGTCAGCTGTGATAGACACTGCTTAGAGATCAGGTAAGATGACTGTGACCTGTTGGCTCTGGCAACATGAAGGCAACTGGTGAACATGATAAGGGCATGTTCCTGGAGTAGCGGGGTGGAAGGCAGGCTGTGGTAGAGCTCCCATGTTTGCACAACTTAGGTCTAACAGGGAACAGAGAACTGGGAGGGATCTAGAAAGGATGTGGAAGTATAGGATGCTTTGGTAGAGATTGCTAGATGGCCCTAGTAGCCATTCTCTTGTCCCTTCATGATAGAATTTCCAATTCTGTCATGAGGGGTTTGTTAAAATGTGGGAGTCACTGGAGCAGGCTTGCACGGTGATGGGAATGATCTAAGAAGAAGGCAGGGGCCATGATAGGAAAAGCAGGTGAAAGAAGATGGGGTATGGACACTAATGAGGTCACCTCCTACAGAGGGACACTTCCACCATTATTAAGGAGAGGAGTATGGAGACAGAGTGGAGGTTTCTAGTAAGGCTGGGACTGGGAAGATGATTACTCACACCTGGTGATTTCTGCTTAATCCTGGATGTGCAAGAGGTCATGGGTATAGAAAAAGAGGAAGGAGGCAGGGAAGCCAGCTTTGTGAACCATGGACTGAGTGGTTTTGGAGATCTTGCTGGCCTAAGCAGCCTCTGGGAGACGTGTCCTTTCTGGAACAGTTGGCCACACTGCTGCAGGGTGTGAAAAGTGTGGTGGAAATACCTACAAAGCCAGCGTGGCCTTCCCCACCAGCCCCCAGACAGTGACATCTGACACCTGCCATTCCTGGCTGCAGCAAAGACCCACAAAGTTTTATCTGACCCATTCTTACAGCAACATCGAGTGGCCTCAGAGATAAAACGCCGAACCGGTCTATTTTATTTTCCTTTATTAAAAAATAAAAATTCAAATAGACAGCCCCAACTCATAAAAGAGTTATATTGTAACCAGTGGTTTACTTTCCTGGCTAGCACCTAGAACCATAATTGCCAAGAATATAACTGAATTGTAGTGCAGACTGCAAGCCTAACATATGGACTGTGGGAACAAAAAAAAAGAAGCTGAGAGTTTTTCCTGGATCTGAAGCTGCCATAAATAAAATTTTAAGTGGAATAGCTTGGCCTTTGTCTTCCCCTGACTTCTTCCATAGTCCTCTGTGTCTGTCTCCAGTGCTCACCCTGGGCTCCACTCTGCAGCCTGTGTGTGTGTTTACAGGCCAGTGGGCAGGTCAGGGCAAAATTGAACAGAAGAGGGAGTTGGTGTCCTAGCTCTCCTAGTTCTCAACATCTTGATCTTGAGCAAACCACAACCCTGAGCCCTGCTGTTCTCATCTGTAAAGTCAAGGTAATACTAAAACCCACCTCACAAGCTTATAATAAAAACCCAAAGAGATAAAGTTAGTTTGTAAAACTTTGAAAAATACTGGATAAGCTGTAAAGAACTCTGTTACCTGGGAAAGATGTCTTATTAGGGCCAGACTACCAAGGATTTTCACAACAGTCAGGACATTTTGGTTGGAAATGAGAACCCCACCCAGACTAGCTTAGGTCATCAAAGCGGAGATTACTGGTAGGAGACTCAGATCGTTCACAGAATTGAAAGAACTTGAAACCAGAGTGACACTGAAAACTGGGGGCTGATCCTGACAGCGTCCCAGACCGGGGACCTACCCTCTGTTTCTCCTAGTTCTCAGAGTTTGCCTTGTCAGGTATGTGACTGAGTCTACAGTCGGTAAGTCGGTATGAACAGATCTCAAGAAAGGACCCTAATTGGGTCAGCTCTGGTGACGTGTTCATTCCCGGACCAATCACTGTGGTGAGGGTGATGAGATACCATAATTGGACTAGGTCTGGGTCACATGCCCATGCCTGTGATGAGTAGGGCAAGGCCTACGCAGAAGAGGGGGTGGTGTGTACAGGCTTGGCATCAACCAAGTATTCCTTAGGCCCTAGGCAGGTTTTAGGCAGAATGGTGACATTGTTACATCTACGCTTTAGAAGGACCCCTAAGACTGCAGTGGGAAGACAAGGTGGGAGGGAAGGAAATGATGAGGAAATAGAGGTGGACAGAATCAAGTTATATTTAGGAGCTAGAACTGAGAAGTGATTAATTGCATGGGAGAATGAGGAATAAGGCGGCGTCATATTCTGGCTGCACGGGCAGTGGCACTATTCACTGAGAAGGAACACAAGAGACCCTATGTGGATGTATATGTTTGGTGAGAGGTGATGACTTAGACCTCTTCCATTTCAAGTGTTCCAGGATGCAGTGGTGAAATTTGC